TGTTAGCATGTCTTTATTCCTATTCTTCATTGCATTCTTCTAAATAAGGAATTGGAGGTTTCTTTCACCCACTCTGTTGTTTGTCATTGAGTACCTTCATGTGTGTATATGTGGGTAATTGTGAGTGTTTATTAATAGCGTGGGCTCAAATAGGTCATCAGTCATATTGTATTCTCTCCTTTGCTTTTTTAATTTTTACTTTTCTTTTTTTATTGTCTAAAGTTTTACATATGTCTCCTTGACCCCCGATTGACCCCCCAATTTTCACTTTTCTTAATGAAAAGATTCAGCTCATACTTTTATATTTTTCACTTGTGAATCCTTTCTTTCTGAAAAAAGAAAGTGAATGTTCTTCTGTGTATGCAGTGCTAATAAACAACCCTACACACATTGCCAACTTGTTTCACATCTCCATCCTCTCCTTTTTCTTCTTTTTGGCCTTTTGTTGTTAGCTCTATTTACAAAACAGGCATCATCTTCTATGATCCTCTGGAAAGCATTCTCTTTTTTATTTACTAAAGATTAACTTTACCTTCATTAGCATATTTGAATCCAATATCTTTAAATGAGAAGAAACTATAACTTAGATACTGCTTTCCTCCAAATTTAAATCCATTCTAGCCTGGCCAGCATGGCTCAGTGGTTGAACCAGGAGGTCATGGTTTGATTCCTGGTTAGGGCCCAGGTTGCAGGCTTAGTCCCCATTTGTGGGTCTGCAGGGGGCAGCCAGTCAATGACTATCTCTCATCATTGATGTTTCTATCTCTCTCTCCCCCTTCTTTCATCTCTGAAATCAATAAAAATATATTTTAAAAAGCCATTCTAGCCCTGGCCGGGGTTGCTCAGTGGATAGAGTGTCAGCCTGCGGACTGAAGAGTCCCAGGTTCGATTCCAGTCAAGGGCATGTACCTTGGTTGTGGGCACATCCCCAATAGGGGGTGTGCAGGAAGCAGCTGATTGATGTTTCTCTCTCATCAATGTTTTTAACTCTCTGTCCCTCTCCCTTCCTCTCTGTAAAAAATCAGTGAAATATATATTTTAAAAAAGCCATTCTATAATAGTTTTTTATTTCAAAGTTATTGGAAATTTAAGTTGGAATTAGTGGCCCATGTTGATGTTATTAAGTTATTATTATTAACTGTCTTTATAAAGATTAATTTGATTCTCACTTAATTTTGTTTCATATAGTTCTTTTATAATTACTATACTTACCTTAATTTTAGTCCTTTGATAATCTGTATTCCATAAATTCTTAACCTTAAAAAAACTTTTCTTTCGGGTTATTCATACATATACACTCATATGCATTTGTACAGATGCATACATAGCATTCTGTGCCCATCAGAAATTCTCTTTATGTGTTGTACACTCTTTTTTTCTATGTGCCCACTCTTCCTTATTACTCAACAATACCTTATAACCTTTCCTCCAATCAACTAATGTGATGCCAAGTCATGATTACCATGTGCACATAATATTTTATGATATGACTGTTATTCACACTTGAAAGCCTTCCATATACTTTCTCAATGCATTGCTACTATAACAATTATACAAAAATATTCTGAGGTTGCTACATTAAAATTCTGGTTCTCAAAGAGAGGAAGGGTTGTTCCCCAGGGGACATTCAGCAATGTTCAGAGACATTTCTGTCTGTCACATGGAAAGTGTAGGTAGTGTCCAGGGATGTACAGGAGAGACCAGAACACAGACAATGATCTGGCCCAAAATGTCAATAGTGCAGAGACTGAGAAAGCCTGACTGAAAGAATATATATACTTATAATATTTATAGCTGTCTTCAGGTTGGTTTGCCAATGTTGTAGCACATTATAGTTCTGCCAGAAAAGAAAATAGAGTACCCCTTTGCTACCTGTTTAAAAGTTCCAATCCCGGTCAATGTGACACCTTTTGAAGGCTTTCCCCAGCCTGAGAGATGTGAATTTTTTTATTGTTTTCTGAATTTTTTCTGAGTTTGATCAAAGATTCATATATTTGATGGTCTTGTTAATTTGAATGTTATATTATCTGCCTATTATACTTTCATTGTCAGCCTTTTAAATGATTTCTAAACATTATTATGGTGGCGGAGGTAGAGGAGGTAAACAGGGAGATAAACAGTGATGGGAGGAGACTTGACTAGGGATGATGAACACATATATATATGATATATTACAGTAATGTACACTTGAATACTATGTAATTTTGTTAACCAATGGTACCCCAATAAATTCTATGGAATTAAAACTTAACAATTAATATAAATATAAATTACTATTTTTCAATTGACTTTGGGGGATATTTTGGCCATAAAAGAGTTTTACATTCGATTTAGTTAAATATGTCTGTCTCATTACTTCTAAGTCTGCTGACTTAATTACAATGGTTTTGCCCACACACACGTATTAATATGCAGTTTTCTATCATTTCACCTGAATTGGTTATACTTAACAGTGAGTAAGCAATCCCTCTGATTTTTTTATGATGTGACTGAGGTAGAACAACTTCATTTATTTCCAGGTTGATATTTTTCCAGTTTTTATTCAACAATTTAATGTTTCAAAATGTACTGAAATGCAACCTTACCATGTGTTCAATGTACTTATAAACTGGACCTAATTCCTGATTCACTCAACAAACAACCATGGAGAATCTGCTGTTTGTCACAATTTCTATGATTATAGATTATCTTCTATGTCTATGCCACTGCCAATTTGACTACTAATTCATGTTGGTAACCCTAAATTAATGCTATTTATTACATCTTGTTTTGGTTAGTTTTTGATGTTCCACTCAATTTTCTTTAATACAGATGCTTCCAATTCACTCTGTTTAACCAGGATTCATTCTCTCTGTCATGCCTTTCATTTTATAACTTCACATTTACTTAAAGGTGTTCCTATATAAGTGCGCATATATTCACAAACATTTGTGAAAATACAAAGGTGAACAAAACAGGTGAAGCCCTGCTTGTCTGGATCTGGCACTGTGATGGTGAAGTCAGAGTACAATGAAAAAATGTTTGCATGACAGTGTGCTCAGGCTAAAATCATATGAAGAAAGTTACTCAGTGTAGCAGGATGGATCATCATAGCATGTGCAGGACTTATTGATATGTACTGGGAGGCCTTTGCATGTTGGATGAAGACCACAACCCGAATTAGCTATGCCCATTGATTTTTAAAAACATGATATCAAACCCAAAGTCCAAGAAAAACAGAGATGCCACATAAGAAAAACGAGTAAGGCTTCTCTCATCTATCATCAACCATATAAAAACTTATTGGTCAAAAATATCCAACCAGTGTTGCTTTTATATATTTTTTTGTGAGTTATTGGTTAAATTTTTAGGTCAGTTTTCACTTGGGGTAGTTACACCATATATCTATAAATATATTGTATTTTATTTTATTCATTTTGAAATTTAATTCTTTATTGTTTAAAGTATTACATAGGTCTCCCATTGACCTCTCCCTGGTCATTCAGCCCTGCCCCCAGCACATGCCCTCACTCCCCTACTATCTGTGTCCTGCCTTTGTATTTTAGTCAAATTAATTTTTCTTCTTTATTAGTTTTGCTTGGCTTTAAAGGGTGTATAATTAGGGTTGGAAATGTTCCAGAATCCAAAGAAGATTTTTCTTACTACTGTCCCTCAGGGATTACCTGAGATAATTTGATCTCTCTTCTTAATATTCATTTTATTGCTCTCTCTCCCTCTACGTTCATGTAGACTACTGTTTATATTTTTTTAACTACAGGACAGAAAATATTCATAGCAATATGAAACTCCAAGCTTATTCATTCATAGAAGGCTTACTATAAGAATATCTAAAAACTATTTCTAAATTCTTTTTGGAAAAGTTACTTGATCTGGATACCTTGACTTGTATCTGCTCATAGTCTACATAGTGTGGGAGGGAGAAGGACATGGAAATAACACAGATGAAGAGTCCATGGTGTTCTGCAGTGTGTGTGTGTGTGTGTGTGTGTGTGTGTGTGTGTGTGTGTGTGCCTTGTAAAGTGAGAGCAGTCCTCAGAGCAGGGGTGCCTGGACTGATATATTCCAAGGTGACTCTATTATCAGGAGGAGATACTAAGGATAACATCCTTTTTCAATTCACAGGATGCTTTTGCAACCAGATTAATAAGTGCAAGATTTTCATAGTGTGCACAAGACACTCTCCATGACTTGAAGTTACAAGAGCAATATGCAAGCCACCTTGTTTCTTAATATCCTCTGACACCATCTCTGATCCTGCTCTGCCGTGCTCATTCCCCTTGATAATCAGGCTCCTTTTGAGCCCTGATTTTCTAAACAATCTTCTTCCTTAGGGCCTTTGCACTGGCTGCACCTTCTGCCTGGCAAACACTTCCCCCTCTGTCTCCCACTTAGTTTTCATTGAGGTATCTGTTAAGTGTCGTCTGTTGGCCTGTTGTGGCTAAACACTAAAAAAGACAGCACCCTGTATCCACTTTCTCCATTTAATGTGATTTACTTTTTGTTTTAGAAGCTGCACTATTGGATATATTTTATTATTTTTTAATTTGATAATATTCTTTCTTCATCATTAGTTTATAGAGACTTTATTTTTCAGCATCCCATACTCTGAACAGTGCCCGGAACATGGTCTATACTCTATAGTCAATATATATTCCACAAATGCATGAAAGATATCCTCAGTAAAACAGCAGTATACATTATGTTTGAAGAACAGGTTGATGGAAAAGGAAATTCTAATGACAATGGGGATTCCATAATGAGGAACAAATCACACACCAAAAGTGGAAATTATTTTCCTGATTCTAAAACATAAATGTGTCATTTATTCTCAGGTACAAATGCTTACTAATGTGACATTTAGTTTTTCATTTCTTCTATTTTCTGATAGTCACTTCTGACACATGGAACCAGGCAATGATACACAAATTTCAGAATTCCTTCTTCTAGGACTTTCACAGGCACTGGAACGACAGTCCCTCATATTTGGGCTTTTCCTGTCCATGTACCTGGTCACTGTGTTTGGAAACCTGCTCATCATTCTGGCCGTCAGCTCAGACTCCCACCTCCACACGCCCATGTACTTCTTCCTCTCCAACCTGTCCTTGGTAGACATCTGTTTCACCTCCACCACCATCCCAAAGATGCTGTGGAACATCCAGACACAGAGCAAAGTCATCACCTATGAAGGCTGCATCACACAGATGTATTTTTTCCTACTCTTTGGAGGTTCGGACATCTTCCTTCTAACTGTGATGGCCTATGACCGGTTTGTGGCCATCTGCCACCCACTGCACTACATGGTCATCATGAACCCCCGGCTCTGTGGACTGCTGGTTCTGCTGTCCTGGATCATGAGTGTCCTTAATTCCTTGTTAGAAAGCTTAATGGTGTTGGGTCTGCGCTTCTGCTCAGACTTGGAAATCCCACACTTCTTCTGTGAATTCAATCAGGTGGTCCAACTTGCCTGTTCTGACACCTTGCTTAACAACATTATAATGTATTTTTCAGCTGGGCTGCTATGTGGTGGTTCCCTTGCTGGGATCCTTTACTCTTACTCCAAGATCATTTCCTCCATATATGGGATCCCTTCAGCTCATGGGAAGTATAAAGCATTTTCTACTTGTGCCTCTCATCTCTCAGTTGTCTCCTTATTTTATGGTACAGTCCTAGGTGTTTACCTTAGTTCTGCTGCTTCCCAGAGCTCACACTCAAGTGCAACAGCCTCGGTGATGTACACCGTGGTCACACCCATGCTGAACCCCTTCATCTACAGTCTGAGGAACAAGGACATAAAAGGGGCCCTGCAAAGATTCCTTGGAAGGTAAGTTCTTCAAGGGCCAACTGTACTAGGCTGAAGAATTTCCCAGGAACTCAAGGTGCAAATCATCAGGGCCAGAAGTTCTGACACAAATAAAGCCAATCTTTGGACTAGAAGTAATTGGAAATTCTAAGTTATCTCATAGATTAACATGGATTACTTTAGCATCATTTATTATCTTATGACATATTTCATTCCAAGTAATTTTTATATTGTTTTACTGAAATAACTGCCATGAATTATACTACCCTTATGGACAAAATTATACTTGGATACTAAGATCATTTGCATAATTTTATTGTAGAGGAAAATCTGTGACCACAGTTTTCACTTATTTGTTCATCATTTTTTTTCTATAGCACTACTTTTACTGCTCTTCTTGATAATGGAGACTTTAACATGCTGGTATTTTTTATAGCTGGTCTCCTGGTTTTATCTTTTCATTATATTATTCAGCTGTATGTCCACATGCCTACCACAGCCACTGGCAACAATTGACTATAAAACACATGTTTCCTAGAAGAGTCTAAATAAAATACACTCTAATATGGTTAGAGACAGAGATGACATTAAATGTGATGAAGCAATAATAGCAGTACAATATTTTACTATACAAAACTGATTTTCATGGCATTTGTGTACTTAATAAAGTGTGGAATATGCTGTCCATGTGTAAGGCTCCTTATTTATTGGGGTGAAAGATTACGTGGAATATTTTATGATTTCTTTCTGAACTATCTCACTGTTTTTGCTATAAAACTTTCTGTTTATATAATTTTTAAAAAGTGAGCAGGAGAGAGAGAAGAAGAAGAAGAAGAAGAAGAAGAAGAAGAAGAAGAAGAAGAAGAAGAAGAAGAAGAAGGAGGAGGAGGAGGAGGAAGAGAGAAACATCCATATGAGAGAGAAATATTCATCAGTTGTCTCCCACACACATTAAAATCAGGGATACAATCCACAACCTGAAAATGTGCCCTGACTGGGAATAGAACCAGCAACCTTTCTGTGCATGGGATGATGCTCAACCAACTTAGCCACACAGGCCAGGGCTCCTTGAAAGCTTTAAATGTGCTCCCTACTAATGTCACTCTTTCTAGTGTTCTAAATTTACTATCTCCCCTTTTCTATATTTTTTTTCAAATCCACCAAAGGGAAAGTGACTGAACAATCTCACTATCACACAATAAGTATCTTTATGCTTGGGAATATCCTCAATCTTTTTAAAAAATATATATTTTTACTGATTTCAGGAGAGGGGGAGAGAGATAGAAACATCAATAATGAGAGAGAATCATTAATTGGCTGCCTCCTGCACTCCCCTACAGGGGAATGAGCCCAAAACATGGGCATTCCTTGACTGGAATGGAACATGGGACCTTTCATTCCCCAGGACGATGCTCTATATACTGAGGCAAACCGGTGAGGGCAATATCTTCAATCTTTATGATCAAAGAATGAATCCTGCCCAGTTATGTGCAGATTTTTTTGCACAAACATGCATGTCCTTCTATTCTGTCTTGACTGCCTGGAAGGGAACCTCAATGGAGTCACTTTTATCTAAAATGCATTGGAATTACAGTATGATTGTGAGTGCTGTCCTCAAATATCAGCACAAATGCCAAAAGTAAGAAGTAGCAGATTATTATAATTTCCCTCAATTCTTTATGCTTTGATTATAGTATCAATCCACTATTGCCATATAACAAGCCATCCTAAAAGCAAATAGTTTAATATAATTCTTTTATTTTCCAATGGGTTTGTGTAGTGGGGTGGTGTTCTGATCTCTGCTGGTCTCGTCATGAGTCTGCAGTCAGCTATGGGTCAGCTGGGGTGTCTCTGCTGACCTTTCTAATGTATTAGGGGCTCAGCTATGGTGACTGATCTGGGTGGGGGGGTTGGCTGGAATAAATGAGCTCTGTCCGCATGTCCTCTCCTTCTCTAGAAGGCCCCCCGCCCCCCTGGGTTTGTTCACATGGCTCAGCCAGGGTTCTGAGTGAGAGCAGTGGAAATGCACCAAGGCCTGGTGAAGCGCACTGTCACTTCCACCATATTCTATTGGTCAAAAAAACTAAAACATCCTAAGTCCAGCACAGATTCAAAGGTGGAGAAAAAGACTACTCCTCTGGAACTCACAGTCACATTGCCAAAGACATGAAAGCAGATAAAGAATTGGGGCCATCTCTGCATAGAGTCTACCATTTGTGTCAATTTTAATTCAGTAAAGTTTTAGTAAGAGATCAACCGAAGGACTTGTATGCATCCATATAAGCATAACTAATGGACATAAGACACTGGGGGGTAAGGGAGGCAGGGGATTGTCAAGGGCGGGGGGAAAAAAAAGGACACTTATGTAATACCCTTTGTAATACTTTTAGCAAAAAAATAAAAAATAAAAAAATAAAAAATAAATAAAAAAGAATTGGGGCCATCTCTGCATAGAGTCTACCATTTGTGTCAATTTTAATTCAGTAAAGTTTTATTTCTACATCTGCCATCAACAGCTGAGTGATCTTAGAGAAGAAAGTGAGAGTAAATACATATTTAATGAGCAGATGTGGAAATCCTACACTAGAGGGTCAAGCCCCTCCAAATGTCAATATCCCCACTCTGCCACTTGTCTCCCACTTACCATTTCTAGGCTGAAAAGAATTAAAACTTTTTCCTTCAAGATATTTTGAGTCCAGGGACTTAACTCATTAATTAACAGAGCTAGAGAGCTGTTCTTTTTTTTGATAACCATCTTTTATGGCACCCTCCTGTAGATTGCTTTTCTTTTCATTGAGCTGCTCTTAACATACTGATAATGATTTCCAATCTGATACTTGTATTTGTGGGGTGTCAAGGTCTGATGGAAGGAGATGACATTTGAATTGCACATGCAACAGAGAAATAGGTATTTGAAAGAGGAGAGAGAGTTGCTGACATTATGCTCAGTGAGAGATGCCAGTCACAAAAAGACAACTACTGCCTGGTTTCACTTATATGACATATCTAAAGTAGTCAAATTCAGCCCAGCCAGTGTGTCTCAATGGTTGAGCATCAACCTATGAACCAGGAGATCATGGTTCAATTTCTGGTCAAGGCACATACCCGGACTGTGGGCTCGATCCCAGTGGGGTGTGTGCAGGAGGCAGCCAATCTATGATTCTCTCTCATCATTGATGTTTTTCTCTCTCTCTTCCTCTCTGTTCTTCTCTGTAATCAATTAAAATATATTTACAAATAAAAAATGTTGTCAAATTCATAGAAATAGAAAATGGAATGTTTGTTGCCAGGTGTGGGAGGAGAGGGATTCAGGAGTTAGTGTTTAGTGGGTATAGAGTTTCAATTTTGGAATATGAAAAAAGGCTTGGGGGATATTTGCATAACAATGTGAATGTACTTAACACTACTGAACTGCACACTGAAAATGTTTAAAATGGAAAATTTTATTATGTGTTTTTACTTAAATTTTTTAATAAAAGGAAGTTCTCACACCTGCTACAACATGAATGACCCTTAAAGACATTATGATGAGTGAAATTAACCAGTCATGAAAGGACAAATACCATATGACTCCACTTTTGTTTTTTAAATTTCTTTATTGATTAAAGTATTACATATGTGTCCTCATCCCCCCATTACCCTACGAACCCCCACCCAGTCATGCCCTCACCCTCATGTTGTCTGTGTCCATTGGTTAGGCTTATATGCATGCATACAAGTCCTTTGGTTGATCTCTTCCCCTTACTCCCACCCTCCCTTACCTTCTCTCTGAGGTTTGACGGTCTGATTGATGCTTCTCTGTCTCTGGATCCGTTTTTGTTCACCAGTTTATGTTGTTCATTATATTCAATAAATGAGTGAGATCATGTGATATTTATCTTTCTCTGACTGGCTTATTTCACTTAGCATAATGCTTTCCAGTTTCATCCATGCTGTTGCAAATGGTAAGAATTCCTTCTTTTTTACCACCCCGTAGTATTCCATTGTGTAGATGTACCACAGTTTTTTAATTCACTCGTCTGCTCATGGGCACTTAAGCTGTTTCCAAATCTTAGCTATGGTGAATTGTGCTGCTATGAACATAGGGGTGCATATATCCTTTCTGATTGGTGTTTCTAGTTTCTTGGGATATATTCCTAGAAGTGGGATCACTGGGTCAAATGGGAGTTCCATTTTTAGTTTTTTGAGGAAACTCCATGCTGTTCTCCACAGTGGCTGCACCAGTCTGCATTCTCACCAGCAGTGCACGAAGGTTCCTTTTTCTCCGCATCCTTGCCAACTCTTGTCATTTGTTGATTTGTTGATGATAGCCAATCTGACAGGTATGAGATGGTACCTCATTTCGTTTTGATTTGCATCTCTCAGATAATTAGTGATTTTGAGATGTTTTCATATGTCTCTTGGCGTTCCTTCTGTCTTCTTTAGAAAAGTATCTATTTAAGTTCATCGCCTATTGTTTTGATTGGATTGTTTATCTTCCTTTTGTTAAGTTGTATGAGTTCCCTGTAAATGTTGGAGGTTAAACCCTTATCGGTGATAACATTGGCAAATATGTTCTCCCATGCAGCGGGCTTTCTTGTTGTTTTGTTGATGGTTTCCTTTGCTGTGCAAAAGCTTTTTATTTCGATGTAGTACCATTTGTTTATTTTCTCTTTAGTTTCCATTGTGCTAGGAGCAGTATCAATGAAGAAATTGCTTCGGCATATATCTGAGATTTTGCTGCCTGTGGATTCCTGTAGTATTTTTATGGTTTCCTGTCTTATGTTTAAGTCCTTTATCCATTTTGATTTTATTTTTGCGTATGGTGTAAGTTGGTGGTCTAGTTTCATTTTTTTTGCATGTATCTGTCCAATTTTCCCAACACCATTTATTGAAGAGGCTGTCTTGACTCCATTGTATGTTCATGCCTCCTTTGTCTAATATTAATTGGGCATATTGGTTTGGGTCAGTTTCTGGGTTCTCTATTCTATTCCATTGATCTATATGTCTGTTCTTGTGCTAATACCAGGCTGTTTTGAGAACAGT